CACTGGGGTATATAGGTCAGGCATGCTCCCACTTGATAGATCCATCAATCAACTCACCTTTGTTTAACAGGTTATGAGCCCGGCTTGGCGCTCTAGACTGTGACATGTGACAATGGTGGCCTCGTTTACATCCGCACTTTCCCTGAACGCGTTAGCGTGTCCGGCCGAAGTTCAACTTCACTCCTCGAACTCGACCATCACTACCACGACAACGCAACATCGGTCCATGCATGGCTATCCACGCTGCAATGCAACACCGGAAGCACCCAAATCAGGCGATTGGCCGAGTCTAGAACATCGGGGACGCCGAGAATGGCAGATCTCGTGCACGGAGGATTGCGTGGCTCGGGGATATCCCAAATTGCCTTAAAATGCGTTGATGAGACGGCGCTTACCTGTGCTGACACTTTCGAGCAGATCTCTCGCATCGAACAAGCCACTGTGAAGCCAGGTACTTCTGTATCGCAAAATCAGCACAAGATCCCCGATTTGCAGCACATCTTAGAAACCGAGACGGTTGCCATGTCTGACAGCGTGACAGCAGACTATTCAAGGAGTTTCTCGGCCATCAAGCTACTCGAGACGAAGTCCGGGTGGCAACGATGGAACGAGGATATCCGCAATGCCTTGCTATTTGCAGGTTTCAATGACGTCCTGAACAGACAGATCGACATTCCAGAACAGCGAGAAGACGAATCCGACGCTAAGCATAATGAGCGTGTGGAGGCGTGGGAAGACAAGCAAGCACGTGCACTCGCAGTTGCACGCGATCGATGCGGTCACAATGCCAAGAATGCCATGAAGAACTCTAAAACCATACTTGAGGCCCTTGCGGCGATCCAAGAACAGTTTCAGTCGTCTGGCTCTGGTGGTTATGACAGACTAACGACCGAGTTCAACGAGCTGGATCTCAACAAATGCCAGAGCGTGGGAAAGCTTGGCTCGGAAATACTCCGAGTGTGGGACCAGATCAAGGCCATTGATCCTCCGGCCCTGGGAGAGTCGTACGTGGTACAGCATCTCCTTAACGGCCTCGGGGACAAGTACGACTCCTTCAGAACGTCATTTGGCATGCAGTACAGTGTGGTAGCCTCACAAGTCAAGCCTTTGGCCACATTGGCAGTCAGTATCGAAGCAGCTGAAGACCACGAGTTCAAGCACTTCACAGACCAGCAGCCATTGAGCGGCATCAGGGCGTTCTATAACAAGCAAAGAAGCAACAGCCCATCTCAGAACAAGAGAAAGGTCTGCGAACACTGTGGACGACTGCACGGAGGCAACTGCTGGTACCTTGATGACGACATGGCACCTGAATGGTTCAAGAAGCAACGAGAGCTTCAGAGCAGACTCCTTGGCAATGAGACCAAGAGACAGCGTTCCGACGAGACCGGCATGGCGATCATGGGAGCCAATAGGGACCGA